GTGGGGGTGGTTAGGATGACAATGTGGGGTCCCGACCACCTGGGTTGTGTGGATCCTGGTTTGAGTTCTCGGAGGAGAACGCTGTCGCCCGGTTGGAGAGGCACCGCTGGGTGGGAGTCCTCTGGTCCTGGAACAACAGGGAGGGAGTGCTCTGCATGTTCCCTTAACAGGTGGTGGAGGAGGGAGAGGAAGGGAAGGTAGGAAGCCAGTGGAGAGGGGTTTACAGGAAGGTTGTGAGAAACCAGGAGATGCCAGCCGTACAGCAATTCGAAGGGGCTAAGGCCCGTTGGTCCCCGTGGGGTGGCCCAGACCTGGGCCAGGGCAAGAGGTAGGAGTGTGGGCCAAGAGAGTTTTACCTCAATAGCAAGTTTGGCCAAATGGTCTTTGAGGATGCCGTGAACTCGTTCAACTTTACCCGACGACTGAGGATGGTAAGTGATGTGCAGTTTCCAGGAGATGTTGAGGGACTTGGCGACTAGCTGGACTACTTGGGCTGTAAATGCTGGACCGTTGTCCGACTAGATGGTGACAGGTAGGCCGAAGCAAGGGATGATTTCTTCAGTAAGGAGGGAGGCTACCGTGTCTGCTGTCTCCCGGGAGGTGGGGAAGGCTTCAAGCCAACCCAAAAAGGTGTCTACAAAAGTTAGGATGTAGCAGAGCTTTTTGTGAGTGGGCATATGAATGAAGTCAATTTGCCAGTCTTGGGCCGGTAGGTTGCCACGCATTTGGTGAGTAGAAAACTGTGGCCTTAAGCCTCCCTGAGGTGAGACCTTAGAGCAAGCAATGCATGCCTTGTGTACCTGCTCAGTTGTTTGTTGCAGACTTGGCGAGAAAAAGAGGGGCTGTACAAAGTGGTGTAAGACCTTAGGCCCTATATGTAAGGATTGGTGGATTTCAGCAATAATTTTAGGGGCCTGTTCCTGGGGAATGGCAATTCTGTTATTTAGGAAGATCCAGCCCTGATTAGATTCTGTTCTTCCTTTTGGTATAAGGGCCTGTTTTTTGATGGTGAGTATACAGGCTGTGTGGCTGTGGGAAGGAAGAGAACAGGGGTAGGGGTTAACTTGGCATTAGTTAAAGATCTTGCTGCTGTATCTGCCCGCACATTGCCCTGGGAGGTGGCGTCATGCTGGGCCTGGTGTCCTCAGCAGTGTATGACTACAACTTCCCTGGGCAATGATAAGGCCTGTAAAATGTTGGAGATCTGTGTAGCATTGATTATGGGGACCCTTTTGTGGTAAGGAATCCCCCCTCTCTCCAGAGGGCAGAGTGGTAATGGGTAATAAGAAAAGCATATTTTGAGTCAGTATAGATATTTGCTTGCTTTCCCTGTGCTAGTGTGAGAGCTGGGGGTAGGGCAATGAGCTCCGCCTTTTGTGATGTGGTTCCGTCAGGCGACATGCCTCGAGGGTGGCTGAATCTGTGACTACCGCATAGGATGCCTTTCGCCTCCCGTCGGCTGTTATTACTGAACTTCCATCCACATAGAAAGTAAGGTCTGGGTTAGGCAGGGGAAGGTTGGGTAGGCCCTCCCAAGGTTTGGCAAGTGCATCCATTAGTTCAGGGCAGGAGCGCACTGGGGAAGGGGGAAGGGATGGAAGACGAAGCAGGGTAGCCGGGTTGAGTGGGGAAGTGGGGTGAAGCCTGACTGAGGATTCTCAATGAAGAACAGGTAGAACTCCTGTAGACGAGAGGGCCCTAGGCGAGCGAGGGATTTGTGGGAGAGGAGGTCGGTAAGCCGGTGAGAAGAGAACACTGAGATGGGCTGGCTCAGGGTAAGTTTTAGTGATTCCTTGGTAAGTTCTATTGCTGCTCCCAGGGTCCACAGGCAAGGCTGCCACCCCCTGACCATTCGGTCAAGTTGCTTCGATAAGTAGGCTACAGGGTGGAACACAGGACCCAGGGGTTGGGTTAGAACCCCGACAGCAACGCCCTATTTCTCATCAGTGAACAGATAAAAGGGGCGATTGAGGTCCGGCAGATGAAGTGGGGTGTGGTGAACAGAGCAGTTTGGAGGGTTTTAAAAGCCTGTTTTACAACCTCAGGATGGGAGAGGGGTCCTGTGGGGGTGTCCTTAGCTGCCATGTACAGAGGTTTAGCTAGAGAGGCAAAGTTAGGTATCCAGTGGTGGAAGAATCCTACAAATCCTAAAAAGGAAAGAATCTGGTCGGTAGTCTCTGGGGGCTGCAGTGAAAGAAGTGCCTTCCGGCAATCTGTTGTTAGGCTTTTAGTTTTGGGGGTGAGGCAAATGCCCAAATAAACCACCGAGGTGACTGATAATCGTGCTTTGGAGGGAGATACTTGGTATCCCTGAGATCCAAGGAAGTTAAAGGAGAGTGGCAGTATGCTGTTGGGATAGGGAGAGGGAGGGGCTATAAAGTAACAGGTCATCCACGTACTGGAGAAGGAGACTGGGTTGAAGGGGGCAGGAGCCAAGGTTGGCTGCCAAGGCTTGTCCAAAAATGTGAGGGCTGTCTCGGAATCCCTGAGGCAGGACCGTCCAGGTAAGCTGTTGTGACAGGTTGGTGTCAGGATCAGTCCAGGTGAAGGCAAAGAGAAAGGAGGACTCAGGGTGAAGGGGAATGGTAAAGAAGGCGTCCTTGAGGTCAAGAACTTTAAAATGAGAGGTAGTGGAGGGAATGTTTGATATTAGGGTGTATACGGGTTGGGGACTACAGGGTGGAGGGGTACCACCGCCTTTTTCATAAGGCACAGGTCCTGAACCAGGCGGTAGTTGCCAGACGGCTTTCAGACCGGCAAGATAGGAGTGTTACAAGGGGAACTGGTGGGAGTAAGTAGTCCCTGAGCTAGCAGGTGGGTGATGATAGGCTTCAGGCCTTGACAGTGGGTCTTCGAGATGGGGAACTGAGGACGTGAAGGAAAGTGGGTAGGATTTTTGAGAAGTATCTTAACCGGAGTATGATGTTTGGCTACTACAGGCTTGGAGGTATCCCATACCAGGGGACTGACTACGTCAGGAGGGAGAGGGGGTTGAGGCAAGGAGTTAGGGCACAATGTGGCATCAGTTAGGAGTGGCAGTAGGAGATGAGCGGATGATGGGCTTGAGCGTGGGGGGCCAGTGAGTTGGAGAGTGGCCCCCACAGTCTGGAGAATGTCTTGTCCTAAAAGGGGGACTGGGCACGAGGCTATAATTTAAAAAGAGTGGAAAAAGTGGTGTCCCTCGAGGACACAGGCTAAAGGATGGGTTTGATAAGGACAGGAAGGCTTGCCGTCAATTCCCATGACTGAAACCTGGGAAGGTATGCTAGGTTCTGAGTAGGAAGGCAATACAGAATAGGTAGCCCCCGTGTCCACTAAGAAGGAAATAGACTTACCCACTACCTGCAGCATTACCCTGGGCTTGGCAAGGGTGATGGGGGTCTTCGAGTCTGGGCTGTGTCAGTCATCCAGAAGGACGAGAAGTTCAAGCGATGGGATTGCTTCCTGCGGACTGGCCTGCCCTCCACATAGAGGTGTTGGGGGTGGGCCTGTAGTCCGGGATGGGCAATCACTGCGCCAGTGTCCAAGCTGCTTGGAGTTCGGGCAAGGCTTGGTAGGTGGTCGGGGACATGAACACTGACCAGTGTCTCTCCTGACCACACTTGAAACAGGGCCCAGGTGGAATGCCTCTGGAGTTCTTGGCAGGTTTCAATGGACCCCGTCCACCAGGCGCCTGGTGGGCTGCCAGCCTCAGGGCTGCCACAAGAGCTTGGGTTTGGAGGCTTACCTTTTGCTGTAGACAGGCCTGGTGGGTGGCCTCAGCCTTTTCCTCTTGGGCATTAAAAACTTTAAATGCCATGTTTACCAGGTCTCGTATGGGAGTTTGAGGACCCTCCTCAGCCTTTTTAAGTTTCTTTCTAATGTCAGCCACTGACTGAGAGATGAAATGGGTGGCTAGAACTATAGCCCCCGGTAAAGAAGCCGGGTCCAGCCAGGTATGAAGGATCATAGCATTAGTTAATTGGTCCAGGAAGGTGGCTGGGTTTTCAGTAGGACCGTGAGTTATTTCCCTTAACTTATCATAATTAACTACCTTTTGGGCTGTGCTTTGCATGCCCACTAGGAGGCACTGTAGCATTTGGTCCCGGCAGCAGCTGCCATCTTGACCGGTTTGATAATTCCAATTAGGGTCGGCCTCAGGGACCGCCGCCCCACCTGCTGGCGTCTGGTTGTTGGTGAGATGTACCTGATCAGCGTGTGCCCAGGCCGCCGTAAATATGCAGTCATGCTTATCTGGAGTGAGGGTGGAGGACAGAATTACATAGGTATCATGCCAGGTGAGGTCGTAAACCTGGGTGAGGTAGCGGAATTCTTTGGTATAAGCTGTAGGATTGGTAGAAAATGACCCTAGGCATTTCTCAATGGCTGATAGATCAGAGAGGGAAAAGGGAACATGTATTCGGACAGCGCCCTCCGCTCCAGCAACCTCTCAGGTCAGAGGAGGGAGGTTTCATTGTTAGGAGCACAGCACGAGTGGGTGTGAGCACTAACAGGAGAGGCTAGGTTGGAACCAGGAAGAGGAGGAGCTGGAGGGGGTTGAGGCTCCACATATGGCAGAGGATTTGTGGGTTGGGCGGGTGGAAAGGACAGTTCTTCGGGCGGGTTGGGGTCGGAAGAGAAGGAGGATGGTGGAGGGGCCGAGGGCGGTGAGGGAGTTTCTTTGGCCAGGAGTACCTGAGCAATGGTGCATGAGGAACAGAGGGTGGGGCGGGAGCAAAGATACCAGATGGCCTTGAACGTAGGGAACCTCCGACCATTTACCATTTCTTTGACAGAAATTGTCTAAATCAGTTAGAATGCCAAGATTGAAAGTTCCCTCCGGTGGCCACTTGGACTGATTGTCCAGAGGATACTTGGGCCAGGCCACAGTGGAGAGGAAAAGCAGCCTTTTCTATTTTATGGAGAGGCCCAGCTTGGGTAAATTTTGGACTAGACATCCCAATGGCGACTTGGGGTCTAGGTGGAACTCCTGATTACCCATAGTCCCCTCTCTGTTGCAGGATAGTCAGGAGTGAGGAATGGTGTCCTGGACCTCAACGCCCGACTACCGGAGTTTATGGGGAAGGACAGGAGTATAGGGACGTCTCCACAATATTCCTGTCTTCTGGAACGGGTAAGCAGGGGCACCGGGACGTCTCCACGAGGCCCACAGCTCGAGACGGGGAGGAGTCCATGACGCGGCCGCGATTATGGAGAGGGTCTCCTCAGATCGGAGCAAACAGAGGATGGGGTTATGGGCAATAGGAGTCTTACTGAGTGATGGCTGCAGATGATCGGAGAGGTGGCGGCTTCCTGGTTCAGCTTATGCTAGAGGAGTCAGTTTCCCCCCGGGGTGGCTCTTGAACTTCTCCCAGGTTTTCGGCACCACTTGTAAGGGTTATTGCCGAGTTTAAAATGAAGAAACTGAGGCCAGTATAAGAAAATTAAATGCCAATTTATTCAGCTCCTGGGCGAGGTTCTCTGGTCTGGGGAAAGGGGGCCAGAGAAGTTGCGCTGACTTCCTGGGGCATGAGGTTTTTATGGCTAGGAGGAACGAGCAACAGCTGCGTGCTCTGGTTGGGTCCAGGGGAGTGGGATTGAGACGGGGTGGGCCGGTATTGGTTGGCAGGTTGTTGGGCCGTTTTTCTGGTGTGTGAGCCGGCCAGGGTTGCATTAGCTGGAGCCTTCCAAGGGAGCCATGCGACAGAGCTAGGTACCGAGTGCCGAGCCTGGTGCTGGGTGCAGAGTCAGGTGCTGAGTGCAGGGGTGGGTGTGTCCAACCTCCCGGCGAGGCAACCGGCCTTACAGAAGTTAGTTCTGTTTCTTAGTTTTCCTTCTAACAGTCTGGTCCCTCTGCTGTAGGACTGCTGAGGTCCACTCCAGGCCCTGCTTGCCTGGGGATCACCTGCAGCAGCTGCACAACAGTAGGGGTTGCTACCAGTTTCTTCTTCTGCTATCTTTGTCCCAGAAGGATACCTGCCAAATGTCAATCTGATCTCTCCTTTATTAGTTGACTCTGGATATATAGGGGTCAGGGAGCTGCTTGAGACAGCCTGTCCTTTATTGGAACTCAAGTGCTGAGCTGTGAGCTCCGTTGTTCATTCAGAGCTGCTGGGCAGGTACGTTTAGGTCTGCTGCAGCAGAACTCAAACTCACTTTTTTTTCCCCAGGTGCTCTGTCCCAGGAAGTTAGGGCTTTATTTATGAGTTTCCGTTGTGCTGCTGCCTTTTTTTCAGTGCTGCCCTGCCCAGCAAGGAGGCAGCCTAGTCATTGTCTGTCTGCAGAGGCTTTGCTGAGTTGCTGTGGGCTCCGCCCAGCTGCCGTGTGAACTTCCCTGCAGTCCTGTTTATATGGGTATAGTTAGAACATCCTCGGCAATGGTAGCCCACCTCTGTATTGGTGGACTCTCTCTGTAATGGCAGGTTACCTTGGTAATGGCGGGTTGCCTTGGCAACAGCAGGCTGCCTCAGGGATGGCGGAATACCTCCGTAGAGGTGGAGTGTCTTGGTAATGGCAGACGCCCCTGCCCCACAGAGCTGGACTGTCCCAGCCAGGTTCAGCTGTGCTTGCTGTGAAACTCTCAACTCAGATGTTTCCAATTGCTGTTTTTGTTTTTGTGGGGGTGGGACCAGCCGAGCCTGATCACCTGGCTCCCTGCCTCTGAGCCCTTTTTTTTTTTTTTTTTTTTTTTTTTTTTTTTTTTTTTTTTTTT